TGACAGTGTTGTCTTCCGGACTAGGCACAGTTGCCTGCGGATTCCCTCCTCCGTAAGGGAAAGCTGGTTGCGTTCCAAACTGAGGCTGCTGCTGCTGCTGAAAACCCTGCTGCAACGGAACCTGTTAAGGTACCTGTGGAAAAGGCACCTGAGGCACTTGACCTGCACTTACAAGAGGTCTGGGTCTACTCACAGACCGGTGTGCTGTCGGACTGTTCACTGGCACGACTAGCACTTCGCCCTGAACTCCGTCCTCTTGGGGAACGGTCGCGGCTAGGCTCGGCTCGTGGGTCCATGGCTCTGAGGAGCAACCTTGAGCTCCGCTACCACGTTAAAACCCAAACGTGCCTTGAGGCAGACTTCTAGGTTCAGTAAAAAAGGAGGTGCAAGCCGACTGACTGACTACGTCACGCAAGGCGACAGCAGTGAAAGCTAACAGCACTTTTACACCTTTCGTCGTAACCAACTGTTCACCACGCGCTTGTCACGCAGTGCAAGATGGACTTCTCGTGTGTGAGACATGAAGCTGGACACCAACCGGCTTTGCTGGAAGCTGCACTTTGCCTTTATTTGCGCCTGTATGTTGCCATAGGTGACCAGTCCGGATGAATGGCTGGAAGTCCGTGTTTGCCAGAATTGTGGCCACAGATAACGTGTAAGCCACTATGCAGCCTTTGGACATTCTTGGATGTGCGCCCTAATGCTGCTCCAGCCGCCAAAGTTGTGGATTTTCTTCACCAGTCCTTCTCTCAACCAAAGCGCTTTTGTGCAACCTCAATCGCGTGTCGGCAGTCGAAGCAACACTTGCAAGCGAATTTTTAATTGTTGATAACTGCCAATTCAATATCCAGTCCAATCTTCTGCTTTCTGCACTTTCTTCTCACCATGTCCAGGCCGCGGGCGCAGGATCAGTTTGTTTCTTTAGAGACTGAGTGCTACAGGCGCAGTCGACAAGGTCCACTCACAGAAAAAAAAAAAAAGGTGGGCGCAGCGGATTTCGGCCGATGGTATTCATCAATCGGAAGGCACTTTGTCAGGCTCCCCAGGCACGCGCCAAGATTGCTCAGAGAGGTGTAGTGTTGAATGGTTTTGTGTTCTCTTGGTTCTGGCCAACATATGCGGGCATCATTGTGGTGCAGGTCGGACGGAAAATTACCTCGTCACTCCAACTACCAGGGTTTTTTAAACTTCTAAACAATGAATGGGGCTGACCACGCTCCGCCAATGCAGATACTGGCGCTGCGCACTGGATGGTTGATAAGGGCGTCATTCTCGGATTTCCTTTTGCAACGGTTGCCCGATCTCTCCGGGATTGTTGACAACTGAAGTTGATTTTCAATCCTATAATGGTGCCCTGTGTCTCGCCAAGGTCAGGAATACTTTCTGTTTTCTCCTTTGTGATTTTTAGAGAACCTTAGGTGTAGCTGTGAACGGTAGGAGTAGGGAAAAGTTGTCTGTCTGTCGGTCGCTGCGCTTACGCTTCCTGTCTCACCTTGCGGTGAAAGTGATCAGTATCAGAAGCGTGTCCAACCGGAGTTTTTCCTCACGAGTTTTCACGAAGAATGGTGTTTCCCTGAACTTTCCTGAAGCATGATGAACATCAGAGTGTTTTCAGTTTGTTTGCTGTAAGAGCGGACTTCCAGACGAAGTCCGGGGAACACCTGGGCCGTAGCAGAGTTGCCAGTGCAGAGAAGCCGTTAGGAGTCCTTAGGACTTACCTCGGAAGTGAGTGTGCTGAAGTCTCTGTCCGCGCCCCGTTTCACTTGGCTCAAGACTTGCACTGCGTGACAAGCGCGTGGTGAACAGTTGGTTGCGAAGAAAGGTGTAAAAGTGCTGTTAGCTCTCACTGCTGCAGAGACCAGTCTTGCTTGACGTAGGCAGTCAGTCGGCTTGCACCTCCTTTGTACTGAACCTAGAAGTGTGCCTCAAGGCGCGTTTGGGTTTTAACGTGGTAGCGGAGCTCAAGGTTGCTCCTCAGAGCCATGGACCCACGAGCCGAGCCTGGCCGCGACCGTTCCCCAAGAGGACGGAGTTCGGGGCGGAGTGCTAGTCGTGCCAGTGGAGTTTCTTCTGGCTCTCCTTCAACCCCTCGAGAGTTGAGTGCACCTGGCTCGCGGACTCGTGGAAGGTCCCTTCCTGCTCGGAACAGTCCGACAGCACACCGGCCTGTGAGTAGACCCAGACCTCTTGTGAGTGCAGGTCAAGTGCCTCAGGTGCCTTTCCCACAGGTACCTCAGCAGGTTCCGTTGCAGCAGGGTTTTCAGCAGCAGCAGCAGCAGCTTCAGTTTGGAACGCAACCAGCTTTCCCTCACGGAGGAGGGATTCCGCAGCAGGCATCTGTGCCTAGTCCAGAAGACAACACTGTCAACCTTTTCAGGCAGATGTTGCAAGCCCAGGATGAACAGATCCGAGCTCAGCAGGGCCAGATTTCGCAGCTCACCGAGATGGTGAAGACGCTCGCCGTTGCGAGTGCAAACGCTGCAAGTTCGGCCGCAAGTGCAGCTCCTGTTGCTGCAAGTTCGTCCCAAGGGACGCCCGCTGAAGCTCTTGGAAGCCTAGGTGCTATCAGAGTTGACTCTGATGGTGTTGTGAAGATGGATGTGGACACAGGCTTGCGCAGCAACAGGGCGGAAAACTACATTCCGTCCCTGCCAAAGTTGGCAGCAGACAAGATGAGATCGCGCCATGAGGAGATCTCCACGTGGACCGCTTACCGCGAAGAACTGACCTCCTGGCTGTGTCTTTTAGACGACCGCTACGCGGAGGAACTGCAAGAGGCTGTGGAGAGTGGTGTTCAGGTTCAGCAGATCAGCCTCTCAAAGGGGAAGGCCGCTCGTTCCACTAAGCTGTGGTACCTCTTGAAGCAGGCTCTCGCTGGTTTTCAGCGAGGAGTTTACATAGCCAAGCTTGTCGAGTTGAGTCAAGGCGGTGCCGCTGCAGGGTACGACCTCTGGCGTGAGTTGAACAAAGAACTGTCTGTTAGGTCTCGTGTGGAGGGACAGGCGCTCAGAGAGCATGCTCTCTTGATCGCGCCACCAAAGCACTTGAGACGGCCATTGGATATTTTTCGCCATATGATTTCTGATTTTGCTCGCTACCGCACGCTCGTTGCCCACAAGTACCCAGACCTTGAACTGCAGCAGGCTGATGTTATCAGCTGCATCTTGAAGCACCTTCATGATGATTGCAAGAAGTACCTTTTGTTGCATGGGTCTTTGACAACCTTGGAGCAGCTTGAGCGCGGTTTGGTTTTCTATGATGAGCAGCTTCGTGTTTTGAACTTTCACAAGGAAGCCTCGAACGCCAAGGGCTTTGCAGCTTTTGGCGCTGATCGTTCTGAGAAGGGTGAGCCCAAGGGTGGCGAGCCCAAAGGAAAAGGTCATGGAAAGGACCAAGGCAAGCATGGTGATAAAGGCAAACGCAAGGACAAAGGAGGAAAGGGAAAGGACAAAGGCAAGGGTGGCAAGAAGGGCGGAAGAGCTCGATCTTCGACACCGGCTCCTGGGAAGAAGAAGCCGGGCACCTGCAATTACTGCCACAAGCCGGGCCATTGGGCCAACGAGTGCAGGAAGAGGATTGCCGATGAGAAGGCTGCTGCGACAGCAGCGGCGGCAACAGAGAGTGCCACTCCCAAGGTGGCCCCTCCTGCGCCTTCCTCGACTGCGGCGCCAGCCCCCACTGCTCCAAAGGGTGCCGGGAAGATTGGCAAAGCGGCCCTCCTTATGTCGTCCTTGTTGCCCGCGGCAGGGCAGATTTCTGAAGCAATGCCTGAGAGGGGACAGTTTTTCACCATGACTGCCTTGATTTTCACGTTTTTCATGTTTTGCATGGTAGGATGCTTGATTTGTCGGTTGGTTGCATGCTTGAGTAGCCCACGGCAGTCATGTTTCACGTATGCTTGCGTAGCCGTAGCAGTGATTGCTTTGAGCTTTGCTTCCGCGCCGCAGCCTCAGCTTCGGGAGCGGTCTTCAGAGTGCCTTGCTTTTCCAACTTTGGCACTTCCTGCAGTCACTAGGGACGACCCCTCGTATCTCTTGATTGATAGCGGTGGGAGTGTTCACCTTGTTTCGCAAGACATGCTTGGAGTGACTGCGAAGCTGATCCGAGAGCTTGAGGTTGAGCCTCTCTTTGTAAGTGTTGCCAACGACCAGACTATGGAGATAACTAGGTATGGGTTGCTAGAGCTTTGGTTCCCTTGTTTCGAATCGGGGCCCTCTGGAACCCAAGCTTACAGAGAGATTCGAGTGCAGCTGGAAGCGTATATTGCCCCCAATTCGATAAGCATCCTTAGCTCAGGCATCTTGCAGGCTTTAGGCTTTAGGATCTTTCATTATGACTATGATCCTCAGTTACATGTTGCCTATCCTCCGGGTGGTCTGCGCTTTGAGACAGAATTGTATGCCAACACGTCGTGGCTGAAAGCTTGTACTTACGTTGAGCCTGATTCTACTGATGGTTCCGTGCAGTCGGTTGAGAAGGGAAGCGTGAGTTCTGTTGTCCCGTCTCACCCTGTAGGTGTAGGAGTAGGGCTTGAAGCCGTAGGAGCGCGTGTTGGTCGGTCGGTCGTTTCGTCTCACCTAGCCCACTCTTGCTCTGAAGGCCCAGTAGAACCTGTAAGGGACGATGGCTGGGTCCGACCACGAGATGGACCAGGACATGGAGGACTCGACCTTCCGGGTTCTAGGGTTGCCGGCGGAGCAGACGGAGCTCTCCAACGACGTGGCGCTGCCGACTCCGGTCTCTTCCCCGGAATTGTCTCCTCACCTCACAGAGCCGGGCTTGCCGACAGCAGAGGTGGAAGAGAGTCCGCCGATGAGTTTTGCGAGCCTTTTCGAAGACAGCCCGGTGGAGCCGCCGAGTCCGCTGATTCTGCCAGGATCGGAAGCTTCTCCCCGAAGGCTGGTGCCAGGGCACTGGCCAGGCAAGACTCTCCGGACAGCCCGGTGGTGACTACTCCTGTGTACGCATGGCGTGGGAAGGTGGCTCCTCTCAAGCCACCCATGCCAGAGCCGGATACGACTCCTATGCCTCCCGTGCCGGAGCCGAGCACGGCCCCTATGATCGTGGAAGCACAGGAGGAGGAGACGGACGAGGACGAGTGTTGGGCCAACGTCGAGCACCACAGCCTCCAACATTGCTCCTGGCTCGAGTGCGCCCGCAGCCAGCTCCCAGAGCGTCGTTATGCAGGGGAAAATTGCGGATCTAGCCTTGTTCAGGCAGCGAGCCAGCGAAAGGAGGCAGGGAGTGTTGTCCCAAGTACGTGGGGCACAGCAGCCTGTGACTCCACCGAAGGCCCCAGGCTCAACAGCTATGGTGCCAAATACGCCCCCAAAGGGGCCAACTACACCACCGAAGTCTCCGATTACACCACCAAAGGGGCCAACTACACCGACGAAGTCGCCTATTACGCTCCCGAAGGAGCCTATGGCGACACCGAAGACGCCGAGTACGCCTCCAGTGGCACCTGTGGTTTCCCCGAAGCCGCCGGCAAGGGCAGTGAACATTTGGACGGCGACACCGCCGCCGCCAAAGAGGGTGGTCGCAAAGGGCAAGGCGAGGACGGCTTCCGCACCAAAGGCGCCACAGGGGACGCCACCAAAGACTACGAAGCTCCAGGAGGAGCCACCGAAAACCCCCACGGCACCAGCTTCAACTCCGGGGGGGGGCACAGAGCCACCGGAGGTTCCCACGACACCATCTACAACGCCGGTGGGGACCACATCTACTACAGCGGTACCTCCGGAGGTGCCAAGTCAGCTACGCCACATGCCTTTTTCGGCCATAGAAGGAGTGCGCCTCGGCTTCATGGACACGGAGGGTGCCGCGACCTTCGCCCACAGAGCGTCCCTTGCAAAAGCAGCAGCCTCAAAGCAGCAGGGGAAGGCCCCGAGACCACCGGCGCCACCGCCGGCGCCACCGTTGATGGAGAATACGCCGGAGCCTCCTCGAGTTCCAGCTCAAAGGTCGGTGCCAGCAACAATGCAGATGCATGTTCCTATGCAGATTCCGGTGCCCATGCAGATGCACGTGCCCCCGCAGATCCCCATGGATTACCGCTACAGGCCCTATCCGGCCCGACCGACCACAACACCGAGGCCGAGTACAGTACCAGTGGCGCCGAGGTCAGCGCCGATGCCAACGCCAACAGCAGCGCCTTCTCTCCGGGCGCCAGTTCCAACATCGAGGCCGTTGTTCATGCCGCCGGCAGCCACACTAAGGCCTATAGCAAAGAAGATGATGCCGGCATCCAAGCATGCGCCAAAGCCACGTGCAGTAGTGGGCGTTCACTATACCATCGAGATGCCCACGCCAGAGGAGATACCAGTGGCGCCGCCGACCAGTTTGGCAACGGCAGCGAAACCGGCACCTTTGCCTCCTCCGCTTGTGGACCTCGAAGAGGTCGAGGAAATCAGCAGCGATAGCGACCTGTAACTTTAGCCGCTCTTGAGCAGCAGCCAAAAGAGGGAGCTCGTGAAGTTCTTTTGCAGAGTGCCGCTGTCAGAGAAGTGCTGCCGGTAGGTTGCCCAGCGTGTGTTCAGCTAGGTAGTCCAGCTTGCGTGCAGGTAGGTTGCCCAGCTGTGTTCAGTAGGTAGTCCAGCTTGCGTGCAGGTAGGTTGCCCAGCTTGTGTTCCGGTAGGTAGTCTAGCTTGCGTGCAGGTAGGTTGCCCAGCTTGTGTTCCGCTAGGTAGTCTAGCTTGCTTGCAGGTAGGTCGTGCAGCCTGCATGCCAGTAGGTAGTTCAGCGTGCATGTCGGTCGGTCGCCCATTGCTTGATTCAGGTGATGTGGGTGGTGCCATTGGTGTTGAAGAGCTAGAGCAGCTTTTTGATGATGATGGTGATGACCGTGAAGGGTTAGAGAGAACCACCCCGAACAACACCAAACACCCGGTAGACCCTGAAGAAGCTCTCCCCGAAAACATCGGTGCCGAAGCTAGATTGCGCCACCAACGTCAGGGTCATACCCCCTACTGGGGTGGCTGTCCTAGCTGTGTAAGGTCTAAAGGGCTAGCGCCCGCCCGAACACGCAAAAGTGTCGACCCACTTGAGGTGCAGATGGATCAATACTGGTATCGAGGCATCCGTTTGATCGCTGTGGTGCACGTACCGACATATTGTATAGGCACAGCTGCTACCTATGCAGGAGATAACCGAAAAGTCACAGTGGGGAAGCTAGTCAAATTCCTCAAATCATTCGGTCTCACAGAAGTTCATGTTGTACATGACGGGGAACCGCTTTTAGCAGCCATCGCAGCCGAGGTTGTTGAGGCTACAGGTGGGAGTTCGGTTTCTACCAAAACCTCTCCTAGCAGGCACGCCCCGGTAGCTGAGAGAGCAATCCGCACGCTTAAAGAAACCGCTTTGGCCAACGAGCTTCACGCCAAGGGCGTGAGTGGCTTGAAATTGTTGGCAAATGAGGAAGCGATGGAATTGCTTCACAGCCATGCGGCTGCTTCACACAACCGGTTCGGAACGTCACAGGGTCAACTGTTGAGTCCTTTGCAGCGAGCTTTGGGTGAGAGTCACACGCATCACTTGTTGTTTCCTTTCGCTTGCATCATGTACATTCAGCCCCCAGAACACCTTGCATCACAAGTTGACGGTCGATACGACATTGGTGCCTATCTCGGCCCCGTGATTGGTGGGCAAGGGCATCACTGCATGATCAGACTCTCAAATGGGTCTATGAAAAGATGCGGCGCCCGGGCTCTCAAGATGGCCTACCCAGTGACGTTCTCGTCGAACTTGTTACCCACTATCGCCGAGGCTAATCCTGATGAGCCTGATTATGAAAGCCTACCAGGGGTGGCCCTACCGAGGAAAGCAATCCCGTTGCCGCAACCGGTGCCTGAATGGCTTGAAAACAACAAAACGGCACGTTGTCCGGGATGCTTAGGTAGATCGCGCTTCCACTCTAGGCGTTGCAAAGTTCGCTTTCGTGATTACATCAGGGATACGCTCGGTGATCTTGACAATCCTGAACAGCAACAAGCCCCTGAAAAGCCTCAAGTAAAAATCAACCCGAACCCTGAAGGTGTGGAGTTTGAAGAAGAGAGCTTGGACTACGAGCCCAGTCTTCCTGGGTCTCCTGTTCCTGAGGATCTGCAGCACCTGGTGCCCGAACCCTCACAGGCAGCCCAAGACTCTGAGCTCCCTCAGGAGTATCTCCCTGGTGGGGATGTTGAGATGGATCAGGTTGATATGGACGACTACACTGTGCCCATGGATGTTGCTCAGGTCCCGGATGTCCTTGACAGTGCGAGCATGCCTCAGTTCATGTTCTCAGTGATTCCGGACCAGAAGCATCACCTGAGTCCTGTTGATTACGGTGAGGTTGGCTTGTTTGCTGCACAGCTTAAGAGAAAAGCGCCCGCTCAGCACAGTAACCCCGATGAGGGGGTGACCATGCCTTTCGGCGATCGAGAGGTGTGGGTCATCAAGCCCACTTCTGTGGTTGATGATGTCAGTGGCTTGCCTTTGGATCCTGAGAAAACGTGGGTTGGCATGCAGAAAGAGGTGTCTGCTATGCACAACTTGGGTGTCGGCAAAGCCCGCACCTATGATGAGATTAAGACCCACTGCCAGGAGACAGGTGCCAAGATCATTAAGTCGCGTTTTGTCTTCACTGACAAGGTTGATGTTGACGATCAGCACATTGTGCGTGCGCGCCTTGTTGCAAAAGACTTTGCTTTCAATCAACCTTCGGCGCTTGACTTGGTCATTGCGAGCCAGACTGCTTCTGTGGAGGCCTTCAAGGCTTTCATCTGTCGTGTTGTCCAGGATACGCTTGTCCTTTGGGGACTTGACGTTTCGACTGCCTTCTTGTATGCCAAGTTGGTTCTTGATACCGTGCTTGAGTGGCCGGGATGCTTTCAGAACCTTGATGGCTCTAAGGTTTACGTCATCCTGGAGAAAGCCATATATGGCTTGAGATCGGCAGGCCTTTCGTGGCAGAAGCATCTTGCTGGACTTCTTGCTGAGTTGGGATTGTTTCCTTCTCTTGTTGAACCTACGTTGTACAAAGGGTATTGGGGAGACATCCTTGTGCTTTGTCTTGTGTACGTCGACGACATCTTGCTAGCCACAAGAACGAAAGAGGCAAACCAACAGCTTCTAGAGTTCCTCATGGGCCGTCTTAAGGTCAAGTTGACTGGACGCTTGGATGAGGACGGCAGGATCGGATTCCTAGGCCGTGAGATAATCAAGCGTGGCCATGAGAACTTGTTGGCTGTGAAGAAAGAATACGTCGATTCGATCTTCGAGGCTTTTGGGTGGAGCCAGGAGAACCGCAGGAAGATGAAGCCCTGCACTGCACCACCAGACCTCCGATCGATCCTTGACAAGGAAGACCCCGAGAAGCCCTCCGAAGAGCTCTCCCCTGAAGCCGCGAGCCGCTTTAGAAGCACCCTAGGGAAACTAGGCTGGCTTGTGCAAACCAGGGGGTATTTGTGTTATTTTCACTCCATGCTGTCTAGAGGTCAAGCCTGTCCGCGCGCTGTGCATGAGGATTGTATGCGTAAAGTGCTCCGTTGGCTTTTGGAGGTTCCCGATCTTGTTCAGGTCTTTCAGAAGGACTCCAAAGCTCAACCTGGGACTGCAACCCTCGTTGGATTCAGCGACGCTAATTGGGCCTCTGAGCGCTCTACTGGACGGAAGAGCACCAGCGGAGGAGTGATTTACCTGAATGGGAATTGTATCAAGACTTACTCGAGGCTCCAGCCTATCGTAGCACTCTCCAGTGCGGAGTCTGAGCTTTTCGCTATGGTTGAGATGGCGCGCGAGCTTGTAGGATTGGGGCAGCTTTTGGGCCACCTTTTCGAAAGCGTTGCGCAACCCCTATACCTGCCTACGGACAGCTCTTCCGCTCGCCAAGTCAGTATGATGTCCGGCTTCCTGAGAAGGATGCGTCACGTGGACCTTCGTCTTTGCTACTTGCAGGATAAGGTTGAGAACGGCGAGATCCTGGTTACACACGTCCCAGGAACAGATAACGTCGCCGACTTGCAAACAAAGAACTTGAGTGTCGCGCAAACTTGGTATCATATAGGACAGTTGTGTCTTGAGGAACGTCTCACCCGTAGTGACTATCTTCGAGGTGATGCGCCCCCGGTCCGTTGCCTTGTGTTTGCCGCGTGCAAAGGTCTGTTTTCTGCAAGCGTCGATGATCCTTGGAGTGTGTTGGTTGGTCGTTGTCGGTTGCAGACACCGCATTACATTGTGATGGTCGAGTTCTGCACCTCTGGAGAAGCCTGGTTGACTAAGCTTGCTAGCCACTATGGCATCCATGCTATTCCCGTGACGGAAGAAACGGATGGGACTCTTCCGGAGACCATCGAGCTCATTGAGCATGCGCTTCGTTCGGCGCACCGTCGGAACATGCATGTTGTTGTGTGGGCTTCGACGCCCTGTACCGTTGGTTCGCCTTGGCAGCGGTATCACCAAGCCCGATCTGCAGATCACTATGATGAAAGGATGAAAGGACTTTTCACAGTCCACCGAAAGCTCTGGAAGAGCTTCTTGAAGCTAGTCAACACATCTGATTCGGCAACTTGGGTCATTGAGTGGCCGCAACGTTGTGCTTACTGGGGATGGTCCGCTACGAAGTCATTCCTTAAGATCAATCCGCATGAGACCGCTCTTGTGCATGGTTGTGCTTGCGGTATGGTTGGAATGGACGCACTTCC